TTAAAAAAAAAAAAAATCGTTTTTTGGAAGCTGTGTAAGTTTGAAATATCCTGAGCAATGTGAGGATGAAAATTAATGGGGCGAGGGGCAGCCAGGATTTGGAGTTTACATTTCTTGCCCCAATTTTTAAATTACAAATATTCTTTTTAAGAGTATTGTATGAATGTCACTGCCTGGGTATCTGGAACTATTGATAAAAATTACCAGTAGCTTCGAGACATCTGAACACATATGAACTGAAAGAAAGAAACATTAAAAATTAAATTTTTTTTTTTAAGATTGTACTTATTTATTTGAGAGAGAGACAGAGAAAGAGAACACGAGCAGGGGAAAGGGGGAGTGGGAGAGGGACAAGCAGACTCCCCGCCGAGCAGGGAGCCCGATGTGGGACTCCATCCCAGGACCGCAGGATCACGACCTGAGCCGACGGCAGATGCCCAACAGACTGAGCCACCCAGGTGCCCCAATAATTAAAATTTTTACAAACGGTCCATCTTTTGAAACTCTGAGGAGTCCTAAGATCAGTCAGAGCAGGACTAACTGAGGGCCTGTCTGTCGGCATTAAGACAGCCCAGCTCTCCATCCCCAGCATGGGCCGGCTTGCCTCACAGCCATGTGCCCTGTCTCCCTGTCAGCCTGTACTTCCTCGCCTCCTCACTTTGTAACACGCCCGCCTTCACTCACCGGTTACTTCTGAGTTGGACACTCTCTTGCCCCCTCTCACATGACCCTTCAGTACCGTCGGGCATTTCTTTTTGTTTTTTTTTTAAAGATTTTATTTATTTATTTGAGAGAGAGAATGAGAGACAGCATGAGAAGGAAGAGGGTCAGAGGGAGAAGCAGACCCCCCGCCGAGCAGGGAGCCCGATGCGGGACTCGATCCAGGGACTCCAGGATCATGACCTGAGCCGAAGGCAGTCGCTTAACCGACTGAGTCACCCAGGAGCCCCCCGTCGGGCATTTCTGAACCCTAGTTCTGGTAGCTCCCATTTGTCTGGTTTTCTTCGCACCTCTCGCTTTGCTATCTAGTCTTTGCTAGCTTAGCTCCTGGTCCTTTCTGGACTGCCTCCTAGTTTCATTCTACATTCACTCCTAAGATGATCTCGTCCACTCCCATAGTTTTAAATGCCATGAATAGGCTCTGCACTTGTTCGATTTATCCCTCTAGCTGTCTCCTCTTTTCTGATCTCCAGACTGTCTATTCAGCTGCCTGACACCTCCACTTGAGTCTCCCAAAGGTAGAGCAGCTGTGACAGCTTCACGTCTAATCTGCCCTCTCGTAATCCCCTGCTAGCAAATGGCACCTTCATGTGATTCTTCCAGGTGGAAATGTGGACGTCCCACTTCACCCTCCTTCTCCCTTGCTCCCCACATTCCAGACCATCCCCCATCTGTACATAAGACCAGTAGCTGAACTTTGGATCAAGTAACAATCCTACGTGAGGCTTCTTTCTCACTTCGCAGCTTCATCCTGAACCATATTGACCATTACTCACTGTGTCCTGGCCTCTGCCCTTCACACAGGTCCTCCAGGTGACAAGCTCTTCCCCATGTGCCCAACTCCGTCACCGTCAGCCCTTCAGCCTGCTTGTCCATTCATCCCTGGTTTCAGCTGACATCACTGGTTCATCCGTGAAACTAAATTGCCCTCCCTCTGTTCGTCATTCACAGCAGTCCACGCTTACTGCCCTCCTTCTTCACTTAGATTTTAATTACTGACTTATTTGTGTGATGCGTGCAACAGCCGCCTCCTCTCTGCACTTCAAGCTACAGTCAGGCAGCGCCAGATCTTTTTGTTCATTGGTACATGCCTGTCTCGGGCCTAAACATTGCCTGGTATGTGACGGGTGCCAAAAAGGATTGTCGAATGAATGAATCTCCCACTTGAGCGAGGATTGGTTGAGGAAGAATCTCCGTTGATTTCCTTCGATCTTTTTGCCACACTTCCTCCTCTCAGACATCTCATCTCCTAAGATACAAGTCCTTAGCTCTTGGGACCTGAGCCTTCCTATTCTAGGTGTCTCACTGAAGCCTGTCTTCCAGTGAGCGCACACACTACCCACCAGAGCGCCTGCCTTCTACACCTGGCTTTCCCACACTGTGTGCCCAAAGCAGGGTCCCACGTGGCTCCCCTACCTGAGCGAGAGCCCCATGCCAGAAACGCCCTTTCCGCTCATCCGTCCAGCAGAGGTGTGCTACCTGCCGTGGGCCAGGCACTGTGCTGGGCACTGTGGGCAGCCTCCACCCTCAGGGAGCTTGTAATCTGGGGAGCAAAAGAGACAGCTAAGCCGGTGGTTTTTATTATAGGGATGTTAGGGTCGTTGTTGAACTAAAGTGCTGAGGTTTCATCTCCAAGACGGGTATTTAAGAATGTCCTCCTTGGGAGGCCTGACTGTGTCTTCAGTGCCAGGAACAACCAGGGAGGCTGCACGTGCAGGACACCGGACAGGGTGGTTCAGGTCACTGACCTCAGTGCCAACAGTGAGTTCCAAGTTTTTTGTCACTTGTTTGCTCGTGTCGAGAATGGTTGTGTTCAGTTGTCTCGTTATGCTTATTTTATGAGCCAGGACGGCACTGCAAGTAGCTCGCTCAGAGTCGGTATTAATTTCAGGGCAATATACCCCCACTTACCCCCCTACCCCTAGCTGCCAGCAACTGCTAATCTTTTCTCCATCTCTGTCGACTTGCCTCTTCTGGACATTTCCTGTAAATGGGCCCTGTGGCCTTGTGTGACTGGCTGCTTTCATTTGGCGTAATGTTTTCAAGGTTCATCCAGGTTGTAGTGGTGTCAGGACTTCATTCCTTTCTTTGGCTGGATTATGTTCCACGTGATGGATAGACCACATCAATGTATCCATTCATTAGCTGATAGACATATGGGTTGTTTCCACTTTTCAGCTGTTAGGAATAATGTTGCTGTGAACATTTAGGAAGTCTTTGTGTGGACAGTTTTTTTCTTTTTTTTTAAGATTTATTTATTTTAGAGAGAGCGAGAGAGTGTGAGCAAGCAGGGGAAGGGGCACAGGGAGAGGGAGACAAGCAGACTCCACGGTGAGCAGGGAGCCCCATGCAGGGCTTGATCCCAGGACCCTGAAATCATGACCTGAGCTGAAATCAAAAGTCGGACACTTAACTGACTGAGCCACCCAGCTGCCCCTGGACAGATGTTTTCATGTGGTGGTGTTTTCTTTCTCCAGTACAGTTTTGCCCCACCTACCTTCTCTGTGCTGTTATTCTCACATACGGTACATTTCTTTTTTTTTTTTTTTTTTTAAGATTTTATTCATTTATTTGAGAGACAGAGAGCGAGCGAGCATGAGTGAATGGTATCTGCTTCTCCCTCAGGAGAGATCACTGAGCAGGGAGCCCAGTGCGGGGCTCGATCCCAGGACCCCAGGATCATGACCTGAGGCAAAGGCAGATGCTTAAGCAACTGAGCCACCCAGGCGCCCCAAGTACAGAACATTTCTACTATATATGTATATTTTATATAATGGCTTTTTAAATGTGTCCTTAGGCTGTTTTATAATTGTATAATTACTGATGCTCTTTGCTTGTTTTATGGATCAAAATTAACATCTAGAGTCACTTGTTTTCAGCCTGAAGAACCTCCTTTAGCATTTCTTACAGTGCAGGTTTGCTAGCATTAAATAGTTTCTTTGTTGCTGTTCGTTTTTAATCTGGGATGTCTCTATTATGTCTTCATTTCTAAGAGATAGTTTTGCTGGGTAGGAGATCTGAGCTGACCGTTCTTCTCTCTTTCAGTACTTTGGGTGCTCTGTCCCGCTGCCTTCTGGCTTGCCCGGCTTCTGGTGAGACGTCCTCTCAGTCTGGCTGGGCTTTCCTTGTCTTGGCTGCCAGCACTTTCATTATATGTCCGTGTGTTTTGTGTGTATCCAACTGGGAGTTCACTGAGCTTCTTGGATGTGTAGATTAATGGTTTTCATCAAATTTGGGAGAGTTTCTGTTTTTTCAGATTGTATAATTTTATCAATCTGCCTTTAAATTTGGTGATTCTTCTGCCAGTTCAGTGCAACTGTAGCGAATTTTTCATTTCGGTTACTGTATTTCTCATCTTCACAGTTTCCATTGATTATTTTCTTTATAATTTCTGTCTCTTTGTTGCTAATCTCTATTTGATGACACGTTGTCATCAGACCTTCCTTTACTTGTCTATGCATAGTTTCCTGTAGCTCTTTGAACGTGTTTGCGGTGGCTGCTTGCAAGTCCGTCTGTTCCCTCTAGGGGCCTGGGCCCTTTACTGGAAGGTTCTGCTGCTTTTTCTTCTGTCTGAGTCATACTTTCCTATTGCTTTGCGTAATTGCTCATAGTGTTCGGTGAAAACTGACCATTTCAAATAATATATTGCAGCAACTCTGGATTCTGACCCCCAGCCCCCTACCCCGGGGCCGTCGTCATAGTTGTTCCCTTGCGTATTTGCTGAGCAGCAGGGCTAGGCCACTTCGGTGCAGTCTCTCTCCCGCAGCACGGAGTCTGCTGTGGCTCTCTGCTGGCGCAGCCGCCCTGGGGTGACAGCGGTCTCACTGACGCCCTGTGCCTGCCTGTCTCTGTGATGGCTGTGCCGGGCTGATGCCTCTGCTGCCGTCACACCCAGCTTCAGGCTCCACTCATTGCCAGCCGATTGCCTTATTTTTGACAGCTTAGAATAAATGTGCTCCACAGTCTGATCTCGTGTTTGAGCCCCTTTGCAGGGTCATTTTCGAGGCCATTCTCCGAGGTGGTTCTGACCCTTCTCTCCTGGCGCTCTCTGTGAGCACCC